TGTATGTTTAGGTAATCTAGAGGGCATAATAGTAACATAGCATCAAAATGAAAAATGTCCCAGCTTAAAGGACTTAAAAGCCATGTACATAAAAATATACTGACCTGCACTGGCAAACAAGACTTGGATATCACTCACTGTTATGGTAAATCTATCATAAAGATGCTGTTCAATTTCTGTCATTGTAGCATCCTGCGAATATAATATAGTTAACAATTCATTGTTAACGCTATATGCATATCTGAACCGTTTGTAGATCACTAGATATATTCAAGCTATAGATTGTAGCTAGCCTAATATACAAGTCTGTATATACATACCTCTAATTGTGGTGCTGTTGTTTGTAGATCACTAGATATATTTAAGCTACCTAAGTCTAATATAAGTAGATTACCACCTTTGTCGATAGCACCATGTTCTGGTATAATGATATAAGGAGACTTCATATCGACATCCACATGTATTGTCTGTAAGTCAAAAATAAATACATTATATATGGGTTATTTGCATGATAGCTTATATTGAGTTGATTATCTGTATCATTTTTTATTAGGAAAATAGGAAGTACTGATATACCCATCCATTAATCTAAACTCAATAGTCATATAGGAAAATAATTATCTGTACCATATCTTAGTAGACAATTCCAAATACAGAACAACAACGCAGTATTTTGAAGATAGTGGACATGTTACTAAACAGAATGCTTCTGATAGTCTGGTAAGACGTAAAGGTGAATACAAATATCACACATACCTTGTGGTTATCTATGGCAAACATGAGGTTGGATTTGGTAACAACAGCTAATTCTGACAGTGTGTTACTGGCTGCAGCTTTTAGTTCTTCCACATCAACTTGAGGTACAGTGAAAAATGACATCACTTCAGAGATGGTGTGCTGAATCAAATAAAGTATATTCAGAACTGATATCAGAAAATCTAATCAATTTCAAAAAGTAACGGATATTTCAAACATGGATCATTATTGAACATGAACACATTCATTAATTTTCTTTTTTTCTTTTATCAAACATTGGTCAATATATTGGTAAATACATCGGTCAATACATTGGTCAATACATTGGTCAATATATTGGTCAATATATTGGTGAATAATTTGGTCAATATATTTGTTTTGTCAAAGGAAGAATATACCATCTTTTATACCATCTTCCATAACATTCAATGTTTAAAATTGCTAGTAGCTTTCAAATGCCAGTAATAAAAGAATTTTGCAAAGTATTGAGGTTCCCCTGAGCTAAAAATAATGAAAACTGAGAATAAAAATTGCATTGGGTGATAAAAAATGGCAATTATATTAATTATGCATATAATAGTAACAATGTCACACATTTCATTTTTTTAAAAGGTCTTAATATTTTACTTAGATCAGAACTCAAAGCCTTCATGGTTAGTTTGGACATTGCCTGACACTCAATGCTCAGGTTGCAGGTGGGAAAAGATGCCAAAATAAGACATTGACATTCTTCATCTAAAGCTATGGAAAACTATAAAAACAAAAAATTCAAGAAAACAGATTGCACATATCTAAAAGACCAATTAACATAAACTACGTTTCTCATTTCGTGTCAATCAAAAGCACACAGTTGAATACAGGACAGCTGAGGTATATTTCTACACCAATGAATACTGTTACACTGACCTCATGATAGATTATCTCCACAGGTTCCATATTAACAGCCACTGAACTGTCAGCATTGACAGTCAAAGGATTGGTTTCAAACTCTAAACCAAACACTTGTGTACCATACCCATTAGTTCTGGTTTTCTCTGAGGTTAAAATTGGAATCAATTCATGGTTTGGTGTGCAGCCTTGAATCAATACACTATCTGTGTTTGTTTTTAACCTGAAATATTAGCATTAAAATTTATTTTACATGTAAATTGTACTATTATTTTATGATGTAAAACATCAGGCTCCAGCCCCTCTACATGTATACTAGAATATTAGGCTCCCTAGCCCCCTGTAAATGTACATTAGATTATAAGGCTCCCCAGCCCCCTGTACATGTATACTAGAACTTCAGGCTCCCTAGCCGCCTGTACATGTACATTTGAACATCAGGCTTCCTAGCCCCCTGTAAATGTACATTAGATTACATTAGATTATCATGCTCCCTAGCCCCCTGTAAATGTACATTAGAACATCAGGCTTCTTAGCGCCCTGTAAATGTAGATTAGATTATAAGGTTCCCCTAGCCCCGGTCCCTATACATGCATATTAGAATATATTTCTTTTATTAATTATTGACCTTTGACCCTGAAACCTTACTGACCTGAATGCATCTGCTGATGGTCTTTGTTCAAGCGATGTTATCATATTATGGAATGAAAACTTCATAATTTCAGACGGATTCTTTAAAGTCAACACACAATGATTTAAAGAAAATGTGAATTTCCTTTCCACATACTGAAATAAATAACAAACAAACATACATTATTTCTACCTTCACTAGGCTAGCAATGAATATACAGTTTGTTTATATATTAATAATTTTTGTGATTACACAATTGTGACAATAACTTCAAGTTATTGAAAATAACAGAAAATAACACAACAGTACAGCAGTAAATATGTCCAAGATTATCACTTACTTCAATAGGTTTATCTTCTTCTCTTTCTAGTTCACTCTCATCATATCCAATGGCTTTGTATAAATCTTCCTTCTCTTTGTCACTCAAAGTGTCAAGAAATCCTGAAATACATAGTTATACCATATTAGGTCACGCAGGTTATGCCATATTTGGTCAAGCAGGTATGCCATATTTGGTCATGAAGGTTATACCATATTTGGTCATCAATGTTATACCATATTTGGTCATGAAGGTTACACCATATTTGGTTATGCAGGTTATACCATATTTGGTCATGAAGGTTGTACCATATTTGGTTATGCAGGTGTTACCATATTTGGTCATCAAGGTTGTACCATATTTGGTTATGCAGGTTATACCATATTTGGTTATGCAGGTTATACCATATTTGGTCATGAAGTTTATATCTTATGTATACTTACCACTATCATCTGATTCTTCTATGTCTAATTCTGCTTCACTGTCTGTACTTGATGAAAACCAATTCCATATTGACCAACTTCCATCTTTTTCTTTCTTCCTTCGTTTCTCTCGTTCTGGAGCTTCCCTCACAAACTAAATGTTACATAAATAGATTTTTAGTTTAGGTGCCACATACAACCAGTCAATCATGTGAAATATCTAGATGATATATGTATAAATTGGAATTTTATGTAATTTCCGAACAACCGGAAAAAGTGTTCAATTTTGATTAATCAACTGAATCATTACAAATGTTATAAGTGCGATCTTGGAGTAGAGATGAAATTGAAAGACAGAAAATGATCACATCACCTCTAGTCTAGCATGTTCTCTTGCCATTAATATATTAGCAATATCCATTCTTTCTTCCAGTTGTCTCAATTCAGTTTTGTATCTATCTGCATGGTCTGGATATTCTATCTTCTTTTTATAAACATTTTTATATCGTTTATACATGCTTCTATGTTCTTTAATTCTTTCCCAGGACCATGGTCTGATATGTTCTTCAAGTACAGATGAATATGCATAGTGCCACCTGGGAAGATGAGAGTAAACCAATCAATGATGAGTATGCAAATTAGGACAAGAATTAAACCAATCAGTGAAGAGTATGCAGATGAGGTCCCATGACCACAGTCCTTCGAAGCTGCAATGAACTTCCTCTTGAAACAAACATGGTAAATAAGTCCTTATTTGGAATTCACATTTCCTAATAAGGTAGGACGTCATGTACTTGTTGCATGACTTACCAAGCTTTGGCATTGCCTTTGACTTGCACATTTGGGTGATACTTTCTGTATAATTTGTTAACTTCCATTAGTTTGAAAGCTTGTATTAAATCCAATATCTCTATGTATTGTTTCCTTGACAACGCAGTTGCGATCTCTTCAGTCACAATTTCTAGCATCAGTTTAGGTTGTAAGAAATCTACTTTGCTAGATTTGTCAAACGATATCCTGGCCTCCGTACTGATGGGATGAATTACTGTGAAATAAACAGTAAAATAAATAAGTAAAATATGAAAGATGGTACTATATCCATAATTTATTGACTCAATATTATTAAAACTATTATTGTATTTGTTTTATTTAGCACCCTTTCAATAGAGCACACACATGTACAAGTATGTATGTCTAAAAGCTTACATAGTTTACATTCTCACAGTCGGAGCTACGCCACGATCCCCCAAACGTTGCCAGGACCAATCACAAACAGGAAAAGACAATGAATTTTTGGATTAACACCTCTGTTCTCCCCCACTTTAACCAAATTTCCCCCCACGCTAACGAAAAATTTTTATGTTTTCCACTGACTTCCTGTTCCAGTCCGTCTGTAAGAATGAATATGTTTTCATTTCCACTGTTACTATGGAGAACACAATCAAGTGATGAGAAAGTAGCCTCACTGTTTCAATCATTTTCACTGTATCAAGAGAAACCGATACTGTAACCGTGCAATTTGCACAGAGTTTTTGAATCAACTCCTCCCCCTTTAAATGGAGATATTAAGTATTTCATGCACATATTTTGATTATTCATAGTCCGTGATAAAAGAAATGTTACATGGAACAGCACACTCATAGAAATTGAACGCATAACAAATGCAACAAAAATAGTCAAGAACTCCATTCATGTTGGCAGCATTGTTTTCTTTCTAGCATCTTTGGGATAACTTGATGTGAAGCAAAGGGGCAGCAAGAAGTTGCAACAAGTTAGAAACAAATTGAGAGCTAATATTTTAATCGAAATTTGTTGCCATGATTACTGATAGCAGTGGATTTCTCCTCATCAGCGATTGGAGTGAAAACATTTTGAAGAAAAGAACCTTTGACATTTGACTATCACCAATGACATCCACAATGGAGTGGCTGGAGTCTGATCTCATCACCAATCTGTGAGTCTGGGTAACCCATAGCAACATTATGATTTACGTCCACTACCGGTAGTTAAAATCCCAGTAAAAATGAAATTACAATGTTTTCCTAAATTTGAGTAAATGAGAATGAGATTTATTTGATCAAACATTTGGTCACAAAGTGATGCTAAAACTGGTTCAATTCAATAATTTTATAAAGCAAATTATTTACCCAATTTGGATGCCATAACAAATCCCACCAACATATTACTTTTATTCTATATTTATTGTTTTTTTAAATACTAAAGTTTGGTCAGATTTCCTAATTTCCTATTGGCTGAAAAAGTACTGATCAGTGCTTGTAATATTGTCTATTTTAAGAAAGGTCACAAAACCTGGGTTGAAGTGTTGAATAAAGTATATAAAATGCACACAGATTTGGAGCAGAAAAAACAAACAAATTCTAGAGGTGAATACAATCAGCCAACACCACAATAGGTGTTGATGGATGACACAGCAACAATCTTTACTTCATTCACCACTGAACATTGAGATTTAAAAAAAAAAATTATTCTTACAAAAGTCAACTTCTTCGCCATTAACTTTATGATTTACCACGACCTCCTGCATCATCGACAGCCATTTTCCACTCCCTATAAACGAACCAATACGAGTCTTCACCGGTGAATTCCAGTAAGCGGCCAAGTTCTCCATCTTGATTAACTACAAAATTAAAATTTAGAATTCATTGCATATGCATTGAATGTTCAACATTAAGGAGAGTCACTTGCAGAACTGCATGTACCATATTAGCTTTACAAGGTAGCAAGAGTTGTTCCCTCCACAGTGCTCCAAACCCAGCATATGCCTGACAGAACAATGTAGTTTTTCACTTCCAATAAAATAAAAAAACCAATAAAATTGCAAAGAGTAACCATTCACAGCAAAGTATATTTGTCAACATAATGTGTTGCCAGATTCCACCCAATGTTTATCATTTTGTTGAAAATGGTCTGTGATTTTTGCCGACAATACAAACATGGCTTTGCCTCCCTAGTTACGAGTGAGCTCTGCACAGGAAAGACACAGCCTGTTATAGCCTGACAAAGTTGCATGAGTTACGTACGCCCCCCCCCACCTTCGTGTGGAGTTACCATGACGACCAAAATGAATATTCATTGAAACTTATTGCAAGAAGGTGTGAATATTGCGAAATCACAGTACTGATCTTGCCGACGAGACATACACTATGTTGTCAGGAGGTCTGATGCTGTTCGGTCGGTGAGGGTGCCACTCAAGCCTACATGTCAGGCTAGTATCATATTTGCTCTATTACAAGTACATCTCCAATAAAAGCATACATAGAACAAAACAAAAATTTAAATTAAATTTTAAATTTGCATTTACTGTATAGAACATCTTTAACATACAGCTACTATGATTAGAACTATAAAGAGAAGGTGAGAACATTAATTCATGGCATATTTGTATCATTCTGACGCAATACTGTAAAATACTTTTAAATTATTTTTCATAGAGGAATGATTTATTGAAAATACAATCCAGTGAATATAATTTTTTTCTTATACAAAATACCGAAAATAACTTTTCAGCGATAATTAATTCAAGCTAAAATGAAATATTTTACAGTATTTCTGACTAATTTGAACACATTGCTGTAGCTTTGCCTCCACAACCAATTTCAATGTCTCTCTATATGTCTGTCGACATGTTGTAACTGTTTTTAATTAATCATGCATTTGTGATACTTAATGAATTCCCTGGACTTACTTTTCTCATAATAGTTACTGTGGCATCAACCGTGGTAGGCTGCCATAAATCGTCCGTAGTTTGAGCGGTTAAACTTTGTAACATCACACCAAAAGCTACAGGATTGCCTGGATTGGTCACAGAGTCTTCATAACGGATATGCACATTATTCAATGTTACCTACAAAATCAAACAGTCAAGGTTAATATACCATCCACTGAGACAATTATTGGGTCATAGGTTATAACATACGATATGAAAGGCAGCAAATAGCATAGAAATAAATATCAAATCAGTCATGGTTGACATGCCAACACAGCAACCGTTCATGGTTAGATAAATCATGACCAATCGTTATGCAGGATGTTCAGTTAGCAGGGATTGAAATAGAATTTTTTCCCTGCATGCATAGTGTGCATGTTGAATTTGAAATTTACCTGCACTAACTTGTTGTGAAATGCACTACTTTAAAGTTTAAATAAAATTTATGGGTTCTCGATTGATGCGATCACGAATGATGTTTTTTTTAGTTGTTTCACAATGTTGG